CGACGGTCCCTTCGCGGCCCTCGCCTGTTCGACGGCGGAATCGTCGTGTCGCAACTGCATCGGCACAAAAAGGAATGACGCATCACGACGGAGGGTGTGCGACCAGGCGAGGTGGCGGATTCTGCGGAAAGGGAGCTCCGAAAGAAAGGACGAAGAGGATCGGACGGGGGGTGGTAAAGGGGACGAGAAACGAGCGACGGTGGTCCGTGGTTACCGCGAACTACACAATAGTTGGCCGTCTCACAATGGAGCAGCCCAGGGCTGCGAGCGAGCAGACGGAATGAGTTTTTCCTTCGTTTCGAGTCGCGGGGACTATTTTAGTTTCCATTCTTTCGTTTCGTGCCGCGGCTCCTCTCCCTCCCTCCCCCTTTACCGTCTTCTCTCACCCTTCCCCTTCTTCCCATCTCTCGCTTTCTCTCATCCTCTCTCTTTCTCTTCGGCTCAGCTTTTATCTCCCTCCGCGTTTCTTATGCAGTTCTTTTCTCACCGCCGTTCGCGCGGACCCTCCTTTATTCGTCTCTCGGCCCTTTCTTTCGCTCACGCGGCCATCATTGGCGCGTCGCGACCGGCAACGTAAAGTTATTATTTTACGGATGCGTGCGAAAAGAGCGAAAAGAGAACGAGAACTCGGCCTGAACTCGGGCACCTCTCTTTCTCTCTCACTCTCTCCGTCCCTTTCTCGTGTCGGTTTCGAGAGCGCGACGAGAGACGAAACGATTCCCGACGGAATGCCCGAACGGGCCGGAATTAATTTGTTCCCGGTTAATTCTGGCCACGGACCACCCCGGCGTCTTCCAGACGCGACGGGGCCTCGACCTTACGCGGCGACGAAATCGAATTCCGTAACCGCGGGCGATAGAGTTAACAAGATGAGCTCGGTTCGCGAGAGAGAACTTCGCTAATCCGCAAATTCTGATATCAAAAGAAAAAGAGAACGGGGCAAAAGAGAGGAACGAATTTCTTCTGTTTACTCTGCGTTCTCCTTACCCCTGTGCCTCTTATTCTCGCTTTGTCCGATGCTTCCCGCTGCAAATGAAAAGGATAATGGGGCGATCGACAGGTGCTGATTCACAGGACCGAAGTTTCAGATGGAAAGGACCGTGTGAGTCAAGTCCTACATTAAATTCGGTTCTCGTCACGCGTCTCTTCCCGCGCCCCTCTTCCCAGTTAATAAGCAAGCCCACGCAGTTGCGGAGAATTATTTAATTAGGATTTAATTAGGATTAGATCAAGAGTGAATAACTGTTATTATGACAGACCACACTTCAGGCAGAGGCGGAGCACACGTAACACTGAGGGCTCGCCCGACGAAAGGCCGACACGGGGCCGAATTAATTTGTTTTCCAGCAATTTTGGGCTCGCCCGGGTGAAGACCACCGGCGCGATACTTCATCTTTCCATCCGTCCAAGATTCCCGGTGTGAAACGCTTTTTATGTCCCCATCCCGTGTCCAGCCGCTTAAATACTGGCCGCCACTAAATTGTTTTACGAAACACTAAACACACTTTTATCATAAAAGAGGATGTAGATGAATATTCAACGTCCATAAATACGAAACTGTTCGTTTAATAAATGTCTCTCCCAATCTGCGCTCTCTTCCCGTTCTCGCGGGGAAAATTACTTTCCGTCGTAGCGAACGCTTCGCCGGTCGCATTCACGCACGGGACGTTTTGGTAGCGGAACGAGAAATTATTTTCTTATAATTGAAGGGAAGCGGCGATTGTCTGCGATTGTGTGTGTGTGTGTGTGTGTGTGTATGCGGAAAGTAATTCGCGAAATCGTACGGATAAAAATCCCTCCGGCCGAGAAAGAACACAGATCTAATAATCTTTGTTGTAGTCTCAAGAAACGATAACATTCGATGAGCGCGAGATCGCTGCTGAACAGAAGTCGCGGTTCCGGCAAATGCAAAATATTATTGTTGCGTGCTCGTTCAGATGTTTCCTCGACGGTTTCCTCGATTTTCTCTCGACGGTAGATCGTCGGTATCATCCGATCGCTTTCGACAACGTCCAACGTCAGGTAAAACGTGTTTCCAAGAGCCGCTCCGCACGCCTCGGCACACGCGCGTAATGTATTCCGGTTTCGTGTTGGTACACCGAAAATCGTGAATATTCGTTTCGGCAGGCGGACACATCCGCTTAATCGCTAGGTTTAAAGATTTATGGTGTGGGGACCGGTCCGCGCTACACGCCATTCGAAATCATTTTTCGATTGATTATCACCGGCCATCCGCTCTCTCTTTGTCTCTCACTCACTCACACACACACACACACACACACACACACACACACACACACACACACACACACACACACACACACACACACTCTTTTTCTGTTTCCCTCTCTCTTGCTCGCTCTCTTCCCCATTCCTCTCTCTCTCTCTCTCTCGTTCTCTGGCTCCCGTTCTTTTTTTTGTCATACTCGCGGAGTTGTCACGGGAAAAATATTTTCCAGCCCGCTCGCGCGGGCTTCAGGCACGTATCTCTGTGAATCTCGTTTTATGAAACAGCGAATTTTCGAGTTACAAATAAAATCGGCGCGACGCGGTAACGAATATCGCGTGCCATTTCACGTATCTATTAACCTTTCGATCGCGACGCGTCGAAATGAAACAAAAAAGGTAGAGATGGCGACGGTGGCGGCGGTGGTGGTGGTAGTGGGCGGTGGTAGTGGGTGGTGAAGGGCAACAACAAGTGCACGGAGAAAACAAAAACAAGACAAACTAACAAAAAAAAAAAAAGAAGGGAAGACCGGGACAGGTCCATTGTTAACACGGCCCAATTATTTCGCGCCGATCCGCTCGTAAATATTGAACCTCCGCGGACGTCGGCGCGTCTGCCGGCCGTTGATATTCCGTGCGCGCGCGCGCGCGCGCTCCCTCGTCACGCTTTCTCTCTTGACGCCCTTTGCACCCACGAGAGGCCGAAAGGGAGACATATGAAAAAAACGCACTCAGCCGCGACGCCACCCTGAGTGACGCGAACAAAACGCTTCTTGAGGCTGGATCTAGCCGGAAGAAAACTTCAATCTAAGAATACCGTCGTCAAGAGAGAGAGAGAGAGAGAGAGAGAGAGAGAGAGAGAGAGAGAGAGAGAGAAAGGCCGCGCGCAACGTCATTAGTGAAACATAATTTCAAAGAGCCCCGGCGCGCATAGTCCGGAGACGCTTTCAGATGACTTTTATTTGATGTCAGGCTACACGGAAAACTTTGATGATACGCCTGCCCGGGGTTCACTCGCTCTGCGTCGTAATATTATCTGCACCGTGCGTTTCGCGAACCCAGAGCTCTCGTATCCTTGGTCCGCATAATGATAGCAGAATCGACTCGATGTATCGATAAAAAATACGACGATTTCCAGAGCAACGTCGGTTCTCTCTCGGCCAGTTGTTACCGTAATATCTTGTGCTCGCGCGCACGAGAATGAGCGCAGAAGATGTCAAGCGTTATCCTGGCGACCTAACTCGTTAATTATATTACGTGCAAATGAACGTTGCATAAGCGCGACGCTGCGCGATACTGAGTTAAAAAACACCCTTTTTTGCGTGCGGAGCATAAGTCCGTGGGCGAAAGCGACATTAATATGAGTATCACGTAACATCATTATTCCTTTGTTTTCGGAATTGCGCGTTCATTTATAATGGAGTCGACTTTAATCCCCGAAAATGAGGATACATCCGTTACATCGAGCGGAGGGAGTACGGCACGGCGCCGTTGCGCGGTCGCACTCTCGAAATCTCATTGTCGGGAAAGCGAACCGCGAGATCGGCGATGCACGAAAAACATGCGCGCGTCTGGAGCAGAAGAAAAGGAAGATATATCGTCGTTCATCTCGTTCATTAAGGAAGTATTTCACCTTATTGAGTCCAAAAGTGCTTTCCTTACAGGGAAAAGAATTCAAGCAATTAAGATGCGATTCTCTTCATAAATGTTTATTGATTTTTGCGGATTGTGGGCGATCATGCTCACCCAAAGTTCCTTTGGCTTGGCGCGCCATTTTCTACGCGCGCCGTTTCAATTTACGATAACTCCGACAAATATTTGAATTCACAACTTAACGAGCGTATTCTCAAATATCTAGATTTTAGAAGTATCTAAAAAAAAAATATTTGATTTTCCCAACCCAAAGTATTATACTCCGTTAAAACCCTCTTTACACACGCTCGACAGTGCCGGGCGGAATTATTTTTGGTTTATCGCGCCACGTTTAATGAATTTCCCAGTCACGCGAAGCCGCTTTGCTGCACGAATTGCCGGCGAATTCGCAACAACCGTTTGGCCACTGTCACAATGACTGCTCTTCAGTGAAATGAACACGGAAGGACCCTCGTGACGGGACGAGTCGCGTTTAATGAGAGGTGTCGCGATCGTCAAAGACAGAATTGGTGATTCCCTGTCGATCAATAACTCAACAATGACGAGACGTGATGCCAAACGTACCATTATGTACGGCATATCTGGGTTAAATATGCGAGGGCGCTGGTATGCAGATAGGATTCGTTAAATTGAATATTATCCACCATTTTGTAAACTAAAAAATTATCTACTATTTTGTAAACTTTGTCATGATAATTACTAGAATATTAACCTCTTAGGTACTGTACGCCACTATAATGGCTTATTTTTATTTCTAATAAATTATAATTTATTCATCTAAAACTGTATTCTAATTTACTTGCGTAGTGAAAAATATTACCAGACACAAATCGCAATATTGCATTGTTTTCGCGCAGTCCGCGTTGAACCTTGCCGTACAGAGATACAGCTCCGCAAAAAGTCTTGCCGTAGCTAAGAGGTTAATGAAAAAAATTTGGCACGCAATGCAGTAAGACATCTAAATCCAGACACCGTATATTCAAGTCACAACAAAGTTCTCATTCATTCATTATTTTTTTTTTTTTTAATTGCACTTTATAATTTATACGTGCGCTTTATACGTAATAAGAACATAAAACTTCGCATTGCAATTTCAAACCAAGACTTCTGAAATAAATTAATCTCTAATGCAAATACGAAAATTGACATCTTTCGTGTTTTTATGAATATGCTAATTGACCTTTAATTCATCGAAGAATAACTCCACTGGAGATGAGGTAATTTTCCCTTTTCACTGGTTTTTGTTTCAAGTCACTACATCTGCAAGCGAAGTTATTGACGTTTGTATCGATCCGTGCGCTCGATCGGCCGACGCTACCCCTGTAGCGCTCCGTAGAGTGAATCGCAACGCGACGCATGAATGAAAACAATAGCTACATTCGCGACGCTATTTTGGTAAAGTTCAAGATCTACGTAACTCGCAGACGTAAGATGCATCACGCAGATCCCAACGCTTGTTACCACAGCCAAGTAGAAGTGTCAGAGATAACCACCCCCGCGGGAAAGCCCATAGCGAACGCGACTCACTCTATCGCCAAGCATGTCTCTTCGAGCTTTGCGACTCATTGTCGCGGCGCTTATAGTCTCAGGACCGTGAACTTCAAGAGACTCGCGGAACTCTCTCTAATTTCTGAAACTACTGCGTATTGTTTCTACACAATATTTTTTACGTTTCTATCTACGCTATCAACACTAAGAATATAATGATAAAAAACTAGTTTCAATAAGAACTTTTCATGAATTAGGGAATATCCTGCAGGTCTTATAAAGTCGCCGATCCTAAGGCTAAGCATTGAGATAGTCGCACTGCTCGCTACAGCCACGGGCCAAACAAGCGTTGTCGCATTGACCTCGTGCTAGATACTCAGTCTTCCGTGATTGCAAGAAGGGTGCCGCGTATTAATTTGTACTGAAGACAACGTAGAAGTGATCAGTGTTACCATTAATCTTGAAGTCTGCTAATTGTTGATCACATTTTGGGAAAATGATAAATAACTTTAGTACCTTTAATAGCTGCGACATTATGTGGTATTATGTAGTTAATTAATTCACTTTAGAAAACAAAAACGTAGTATGCTAGCGCAGTAACAAATGGTCTGGTGCTAACGCTGAACTGAAGCTTGACGTCGATGCTGCAGCTTTAAACTGCTATAACTTCCGAATAAGTATATATGAAACGTAGCGATATGAAACGAAAAGCCATTTTTTTAGCGTGCGTTCCCGCAAGTGTCTACACTGCTCTTTTATTTTTCATTTTAAACTTAAGTGTCGTGGCCGATATATTAAAGCATGACAAACACAGTAAGCAACACACAATACGACTCTTTCCTTCGCCATCGAATTGTTCAAATTATTTTCTTTTCATTCTTGTCTACTAAAATTATATTATATATTAAAATTATATTATATATATATATATATAATATAATATATTATATATTGTATATAATATATAATATATTATATATATTATATATTATATAATATATTATATATTATATATTATATATTATATATTATATATTATATATTATATATTATATATTATATATTATATATTATATATTATATAATATATAT